GGGGGAGGGCTCGGCTGTGCACCTGCCGCGGGCGGGGCCTGCTGGAGATTCGTTGGTCCTGAAGCGCCTGCGCAACTACCTCCGGCCTCGCCAAAGAAGCGTTTTCTGTGGTGGCAGAACACCGTTTCCAAGGAAATGCAAACCAACTCTGGGTGCTGTACCTAAGAGACCCTTAATAATCGTTGACACAGAGAGGATTTACGAGAAGGACTTGGTTTAGACAAAACTTTCAATGATACACCAAAATCGTAAAGTGTGCAGCAGTGAGTTTGGGTCGAGACATGGGTGGCGTACCTTACAGCCCACGTACACACTGCATCTGTCGGGTCTTGACAAAGCCCCACTCAGCTCAGCATGGACATAAAATTGTGTGCCAAAATACAGCTGTTTCATTCATTTAATAGTTTCAAATAGATTGGCAGAAACAAGTCAGACTTTACACCTGGCTGTGTGGTTGCAAAAATTCCTGATAACTATTCAGTATACCCTTTCAGCTCCGTGCTTTTTATAACAAGGTGAGTTTCTTGTTTTATGACATGCCAAAAAAATAGGTTATTTTCCTGATGGGAAGTGTGTTGATTATATTAACATGGTCTGGATTTGCTTAGGTTACTGTGCTGGATATAGTTTGATGGAAGTGCCCCTAGCAGAGGCTGCTTAATATATTTACCCCCAAACTAATTACAAGTTCTTCATCTAAACTGCTTATTGTTTTCTTTCCTTACATAGAAATGCACCTTGTGGAAACTAGAATTTCGGTTCAGTGAAAAATTTCAAGGCTTTACACATTTTCAAGGAAATGCACGGCAAAAATATTTAGAATTTTCAAACCAAATTATTTGAATGGATCAGAATGTTCTAGCTGACTGCATTCTGATTTTGCCTTAAAATATTTAAGATAAGCAAAGTAAGACTATTTGTAAGACAAAAATAATTAAACACTGTAAAACATAAATGTACAATTCTAACAACAATCAAACAGAGTATGTGGGTAAAAAATTCTTAATTCCTTTTCCCTTGAGGCAAAATTGACTCAAAATAGGGTGTATTGCTGTGGTTTCAACTAAACACCACTGTATAACAGAAAAAGATTGTAACAACAATGTTAAGTAACGCTACACACATATCCCTTCTTTCCACTCAAACTTTTGCTTTCCTCATGAACTACCTGTAACTTAGCTGTGACATTTTGCCCAAGATCGCAGTTAACTTCTCCCAGAGCTTTAAGGATAAAGAACATTGCAATGAAAATTTATAGGTGTGAAATAAAAAGTTGGTTGTTAAGCTTGAGCAGCAAGTTTCTGTGTAAATGAAAGCATGTTCTGCAGGTCAATTACACTAACAGAATAGCTTAACGAGCAGTCTGTTTGCATTTGTTGCATGTAGTGGCTTATTGACTATAACTATATAACCATTGGATAACTACATTTTAACTCAAATAAAAATAAAACAAGAACTATCTGTTTTAAGATAATGTTATCCATCAGGAATTAAACTAAACCAAGCTACGCTGCATGGACAGAGTCCACCCAGAGATCACTGTGATCTCAAAAAAGGTGATAAATTGTCCCCATGTCTCCCTTCCTCCAATTTTCTCTTGGCTGAACCTGATAAGACTGGAAAACATTGAATTGCTTGTTTACTCACATTAATCACAGGTGGTTTTTTTTCTTTTATACAAATGTGTATCTTTGGAGAAAAATTACGAGTTAACAGCTCTGAAGAAGAAAATACTCTGCCTTCAGAGGTATTCACATGGTTAGTTATTCCACACTCCGTCATTCCTCCAGGGCATATATGGCTTACTTTCTGTCTTCCTCCAGTACCTCTTCCATACTTTGAAAGATTAGAAAAGCCACAGGCCTGTAAAAAAAACAAACTGGAAAAATCTCTTGGACTCTAAACATAATTTGTAAACACTCAGGAGTAGCATTACTGGCGCCCATGGGCAATAATCAAACAGCAGCCACATCTCATGGAACCAGCTACATAAAATCATTTACCATGGAGCTCTCCTCCCAGTGAACACTTGGCAGGTTATTAATGGTTCCTGTTGAGATCGTTGTGGTATTCCCCTCTTTGATAACTAAAAGGCAATATCCAGGTGGTGAATTAAGGACAAGGAAAGTGGATAGTGGCTACCTGACACAAGCTGCTGGAGAGCTGCAAAGCTAGGTGAGCTGGCAGAGGAGCTCACCAAGCCGCTCTCCATCATTTATCAGCAGTCATGGTTAACGGGGGAGGTCCTGGATGACTGGAAGCTTGCCAATGTGACACCCATCTACAAGAAGGGCCAGAAGGAGGATCCGGGGAACTACAGGCCTGTCAGCCTGATCTCGGTGCCGGGGAAGATTATGGAGCAGTTCATCTTGAGGGTGCTCACAAGACATGAGTGGGACAACCAGGGGATCAGGCCCAGCCAGCATGGATTCATGAGAGGCAGGTCCTGCTTGACCAACCTGATCTTCTGTGACCAGGTGACCCACCTAGTGGATGAGGGAAAGGCTGTGGATGTGGTCTACCTGGACTTCAGTAAGGCCTTTGACACTGT